GCGACAGAGAGAGAGATAATAATTGTTATCTGTGAGGTTAGCTTTAGGATTTGAGCAAGTCCGTTCTCATTTTCAATCGGATCGATGATAATGATAACAATAATGATTAATAATATTAGAAATATATGTGTATATATGTATATATATATTCATATATTAATATATATCATTTTTATGTACTATATATACATATCTATCTCTCTATATAAATATGCATGTGCATATGTGCACACACATATAAATATATATGTGTGCACGCACATGCACTCGCACACATACAGTTGCACACAAACACATATATATAAATGTTTGTGTATATATAATAATGATAATAATGAGACACGCATAGACTCACACTATATATGAATGTACATATATTCTAAGTTAAGTTAAAGAGATCATTAGAAACAAAAGGACATTATAGTAAAATTAAAGTGTTGATATTGCATTATAAAGAGAAAAAAAATACAAAAAAGCAGAATATATTAATATTTTCTAAAAGGAAAGTTGGGCTCCAGGAGCAGAATCCACAAAGCTTTCAGAGGCAAAATATCAAAAGTCCCGCAGAGTCTGTGTAAAAATATTCTCAACTGCAGAAATTGATTTAAACTTGTCTCAAAATGTAAGATAATAGAGAGAGTCCCAAATTATATGAGAAAAGTCTCATATAGTTGTGGGGACTATAGGCCTATTATATATATTTATATACACAATTATATATATGAGGAATAATAACAGATTAAAATAAAAGTGTTAAGTTGGCTTTATATATAGTTTCCTTAAATTTGGCCATTTTATAATGTATTATCAATGAAAATTGACATGATATGCAATTACAACCATTAACACTCAAGATTACTATACTATTACTATAAGATTAATTGCTGAAGTAAAAATATCTTACTTTTTTCTGCATACTGGAATTTGAAAATTTTGTCTTTATAGTTATTATTACAATTTGCATAATAATATTATAATGATATTTCTGTATTCTGTTGAAAGGCAAATCATACAAGTGATTTGCATTTAGCAAAGTTATTTATAAAGAAATTTATCGTTCATAGAGAAAATTATAAGAAAAAAAGCTTCCATTATAAATTCATAATCATAACTAAATGTATCATAAACTCATACCTGGGTGTTAATACTATTTTGTCAAGCCCCCTGAAATAAAAATATATATTTGTGTATTTTGTCAATCCTTATGAAAGAAAAATACAGTCATAATAAAAAAGGTTATATATTTTTTTCAAGCTCTGAACTGTATGGTTTGACTCCTGATTTCTAACCTTTTATGGAACCGTGCCTTTATATGCGTTGTTCCTTTAAATACATAATTTTCTAATATATATATATATTCACTAATTTAGACATATGAATCGCAACAGACGGCGGCTTTCCAGCAAAGGTCATCACATTATTATTATTTTTTTACCGTAAATATATTTATCTCTGGAATTATGGTTATTCTGTGTGTTACTTCAGCACAGTAAGTTATTTCCCCTGAAAGAAGCCACGTTTGCATACGTTTGAAGGTTTTATGAATATGAAATAAATTGATGAGCGAGAATGGACGGGTAAACAATGCAGTCAAACGTTCATTGAAAGTATTTGATGTATGTTATTTTATCAATGTGTGTTCATGTGTGCTTTAGGAGGATATCAGAGTGTATAACATATGCGCCATTTTGAATAATATATATGCATTGATTTTATCTATTTAATGATATATTTGAATGTGACGCCAGCTGGAGCTTAAGAATCACTCACTCTCACTTCCCTCTCTCTCCCTATCTCTTCTCATCATTCAATTTTCCCTCCAGCTACTTCGAGCTCCTCTTCCCTGGGGCGTCCGAGGAGGAGGAGGTTCTCTTTTTCTCCCGCTCTCTCTCTTTCCCTCTTTCTACCCCCCCACCCCTCTCTCACTCTCTCTATCTCGCTCTTTTCTCTTTCTTCTCATCGCTCGCTTTTCACTCCAGGTACTTCATGCTCCTCTTCCCTGGGGCGTGCGAGGAGGAGGAGGCTCTCGCTCGCCTCGTGGAGCAGCTCGGCCGCGAGGGAGTCCGGGTTAGGAGGGGAGTGGCTGCGTCTCCCCGAATCGACGGAGGAAAAGCAGAGCGGCTGAGAGGCCTCGTGGAAAGGGGGTTGGGCGGTCTCTTTTGGACGTGAGTGATCTGGCTTTTCTTTCTTTTTCTCTTCATCTGTCTTTCTGTCTCTTTCTCTGTCTTTTTTTCTTTCTCTCTCTCCAGTTTTGGAGTTCAAGAAAGAGAGGAGAGGGAGAAAGAGAGGCAGAGAGAAGGGAAGAAAGGACATATAGACATAGGAATTGAGAAAAGTTGATCATTAAATATTAAATGCAACAATATGAATTAAAATGATTTTTATTTGTTATTATTTTTTTATTTGTTTTTTATTTATCATTTATTTTTGACGTATATATAAGTTCTTAAAGAAGTCAAAGATTGCGGGACTTAAGATTTTAAAAATAGTTTGAGAGACAGAAAAAAAAGAAAAGGCAGGAGAAAATATGGAAAATCAAAAGAAATCCTTATGTTACTACCAAGGTTTAATTTTTAAATGATGTTTATTGAGAAGTAACTTTTTGCAGCCAATTCCAGTCATAGATATTCAAAGTAGTTAATGATTTTAAAAACTATGTGTTGTTTTTTTATCATTGGGTTTACTTTCCACGATTTCATTATCTAAGTAACTAATTTTTCACTGACCCTTTGCTTTCCTATGTAATCTGTCGAGGCAAAAGCAGCCAATGCCAACTTCTGACTGATTCCTTTTCCACAACAGGCGGGACGAAGACTATATCTGGAGGTGAGTTTCTTCTTCGCTGTTCTCATGAAACCAGCAAAGTGAGTCTGGTGCCTCGGGCGGGGTTGTGGGTGGACTCATCTGCTCTTCAGAGAAAAACTTGTAGGAAATCGCTTATTCTTTACTTTTCTACCTCAGGAAAAAAAATATATATATATAGAATTGCATTATTTATTTATGTAGAAATAAATTTTTCATGCTTGTTTCTCTCGGTGAATGTTTACTTTTTAAAAATCACGTTGATTTATATGAAAAGAAAGAGAGACTAATGGCCATCAGTGTATTAAATGTAGGCCTATTTCTTCTTCCTTCATTTATGGGACTTTAGATTTTAATTTTATCTATATCCCCTGGATTCATTTCTTCTGATTTTCTACCTTTGTTGAGTGCCTATTCAAATATTTATTTAGTGATCATTTCTTTCATTAGCATATGATTTTTTTTCTTATAGTTTTATTTTGCATTCTGTTCCTTTTTATTTATTAATTTATTTATTGTTGCTATCTGTTAACGCTTGTAGTATAATGACTGGTGTTGATTTGAAACATCCTGTGGCTTTCTTCATTACTTCATTTTGTAGTGTTTGTAATTTCAATGTATTATTATTATTTGCTTTTTCAATTCTCAATATGTCAATAAGGTCAGCTTTGATGCATTATATATCAGCCATAGTATACTGTTATTTGTGGAAAATATCTATTGTCTGTTTCTGTTTTTGGTATTGGATATATCTATTTGTGAAACACCATTTTACTTTTTAACAAGTTAATTTTTAAAATTTATATATATCAATTAATTCTGAGACATTCTTTTAGCTTTTTTAATTTATTGATTGAATGTCTTTGCCTGATGTTATCAGTGTGACATCATCTGCTTAAATCATTTTGTGTGTCAACTATTTCCTCTAAATCAGCCATTAATAATTGACGAGGGTTGGGCTTAGTGGAGATCCTTGTGGTCCCATCTTTATGTTATTTTCTTTTTAAGTTTTGCTGTTTACTATTACAGTTTGAAAAGTCCCTACCCCTTAGAAAGTTATAAAGTTTAGTGATGAACCTGTAATTCCCAATTTCCAGCTTTGAATAATATTGCTTCATTTATTGCAGAATCAAAAGCTTTTTTTTTTCAAAATCAATATGTGCAGTTAATGCATATCTATTTCTGCTCTTCTAGCTTTATTAGTTTACAAATCTATTATTTCCGGCACATGAATTGTGGTCTGACTAGGTCTGAAAGCTATTTACTATGTTTCAAGCCTTCAAACAATTTTACTGTTTATCATTTTCACCCCCCCCCCCCAAAAAAAAAAAAAAAAATGTTTTAAATCTGTGGGCTTATTTTATTTTAATATTGGATTGACTAGAACATTTCTTCTTCATCTGGATGTTGTCCTTTGGAGGAGTAATAATCTATGATTCTTTGTATATTTTTCCAATAGTTTCCTTTGAGCGTATTTATAAAATTTATATGTTATTTCGTCCGACCCCTATGCTTATTTCTTGCTCTTCTTGGCTGTTTTTACTCTATAATTATTATTTTACTATTATTATAAGTTCTTTGGTGTCTCAGAATTTTAATAGTTTTATTTTTAGGGATTTTCTTCCTTTTTTTAATGGTAAAGCTTTTTCTAAAGTTCCACACTTTTCTTGTAGGTGTTTTAAAGTCTAGTGAGACACAGAAATTTTTCCCAGGATTTTCTTTTTTCTTTATCATTAATAGAACTTCTGTTAATTGTTTCTTATCTTGGGATAGATTTTCCTGACTGTTTTTTTTCTGTTTGTTGCATGCTTTGTTTCTACTGCTGGGTTGCAATGTTTATTCCTCCATCAAGTTATTGATCCTATTATAAGGTGACTTTATAAGCTTCCTTTTGCATTACTGGGATCTACTCCTGTAATATGGCCTGGAGGTATTAGCAAAATTCTATATTGACTAATGTGTTCAAACAGGATTTTTGCCCCTGTAATATTTGGAAATTAAAAGTTTAAATTTGGGTTCCAACACATGTACTGCCCTTATGCAAAAGGCTTAACCCCTCCAATTTGTTCTCTTCTGTCCTTTCTAATTATGTCATATATTTTTTTTTATTAAGCTTATTTATTCTTTTAGCCAGATCTTACATAGTCCTATCACTTCTGGTTATTCTCTGTGTATCAAATATCCTATTATTGTCTATA